TGCATTATCTCTCAAGTCGAGATCGACGCATATTAAAAGAACTTAAGCCTATATTTGGTTTTATTTAGATATATTTAATTTTATAAATTTCTAGTAATTTCTTTCAATTATTGATACGTGATGTACTCATGAAAATGTTTGAAGGTGTCACTGAGACTTGTTCACAATCATCTATCTCAGCCTGTTCATATCTATCTATTTATATACCTTAACCTGCTCATATCTATCTATCTATCTCAGCCTGTTTATATCTATCTATCCCAGTCTATTCATATCTATCTATGTATCTATCTCAGCCTATTCATATCTATCTATCCCAATCTAATCATATGTATGTATGTATGTATGTATCTATCTATCTATCTAAGTCTATTCATATCTATCACAGCCTATTCGTATCTATCTAGGTGTAAGTCACGTCTGTCTGTCTATCTATCTATCTATCTAAAGATCAGTCCATCATTGATAGTATTTACATTCGAACTGGTATCCCCATCCTTGCTGATGTTTCGGCTGCTGTTCTCTCCGCCCTTCATCAGGTGTATATCGTTCCTAGTTATCTACAAGACTGAATCCTTTATTTAATCTGCATTTTCGTTGCACTGCCCATGTCTAGTCATATCTAGTAGAGATTTTATCTTGAGTATTGATCAGTTATTACTCACACTGCCCGGCTCAGGGATTGAACTCACAATTACTATGTCACCAAATTCAAGAACTAACGCTTTATTCACTAGGCTATTCTCTCGTCGGAAATTCAGAGATAAAAGTCAAACCCTAAAATTAATGTAAAAAAAGAATTAAGATGCTCTGATTCTATAGAATTATGTGATTATTTTACGACGAAAACGGCTAGAGCTTGCGATCCTGTATTATCCTGAATATAAAGCAAGATGAAAATTGAAACTAAGGAATATGCAATAAGTTAAAGTCAAATAGGAAAATAAATATATTTAGTCAAGTGTAAAAGGAGAAATTGTCACAGCTAAGTGACCATTTTAGGAGTGGTTTAAAAATGTATAATACTATCCAAATCCTTCCAAAATTCTTTCAGACATTTCTATATTAAGAAGTTGCCTAACTCAGTCATTTTAATTTAAGATAAACCAGGAAGTAGTTTTTTTTTTATAATTTCGTATGGATATTTCAAGGCGTGGTCAATGAATAAAAGAGGTCTTGAACTCTAATTACATTTGTTTCAATGTAACACACCATGTCCATTTATACCACACACATATATATATATATATATATATATGTATACATAAAGGAAGATAGAATAAAGAAGGAAAAGAATTGAAGAAAGAGAAATAAAAACTGAAGAAAACAGTAAAGAAAAAGCAGAAGCAACAACAGCAGAAGAAGAAGAAGAAGAAGAAGAAGAAGAAGAAAAAGAAGAAGAAGAAGAAGATGAAGAAGAAGAAGAAGATGAAGAAGAAGAAAAAAAGGATGAAGAGAAGAAGAAGAAGAAGAAGAAGAAGAAGAAAAAGAAGAAGAAGAAAACTTTTGATTATATAGATTTCAAATTAAATTTGATTTTCTAATTCTTGATTTCATTTTTTATGAGTTTTATCGTCCGAATGCAACAAGGAAATAAGGAAAATCAAAGAATTTCCTGAAGAACAAGGTAGACTGTAGAAAACCTAGAACCAAAGTTTGATTCCAAGTAATGGAATTATGAAAAACAAAATTAAAGCTGACGAAAGTGACCAAAATTGAATCAAAGGTGGGCAGTAAATAGAAGTTATTTTGATATTTTAACGCTGAAATGAAGCTAAAAGATAATTTTGACTTTCAATTTTATTAAAAATTGTCTCTAATAAGAATTTTCAGACAGGCAAATACTTTATTTCCTGAAATAATTCGGAAATATCTTCTCTTAAAAATCGTTTCTTATTCATGAAATTTTCTACACTGACTCACTTCGTATACAGGCAACTCAATCAAGAAAAATAATCTTTTTATGCAACATGTCCCCTCAAGACGTTGGCAATCATGGCTCTCCACAACTTCCTGTCAATTTGATGCTCTCCGTTAACTTTGACCCATGTTTGGCCTTATCTTCCCCACCATTCACATAAACTCATTAAATAGATTACTCGCGTTTCTCTTGCCTCCTGTGAGTGTCAAATTTTCCAGTCCTTCTTTCCTCATTATATGTCACAGAATTATTAATTATCTCTTTCTGATTGTACGCATGAAATATCCTTGTATTTACTCAATTTCAATTCTTCCTCGTTATTCACATTTTATTTTAGTTATTGATCGGTAGAACGACACTTTCTTATTTAAAAATATTTTCTTCGTCTTTAAGGAAATTGTTACTGCCATAGATGAGATTAGATCTTACTTAACAGATGAGAACTCTTTGATTCTAGTAGGATTTTTACTGTTTCTTAATACTTTGCTTAATTTCTGGAAGTCATCTTTTATAATTTCTATGTGCTTTCGGGTTTCTGTGACACGATTCCCGTTGCTTATTAACTTGAGAGTTAAATTTCGGGATTCTGATATCGCAAATTCGAAATCACAATCGGTATTTTCTGTACTACTGGCACCCATACGTTATTTATTTACAGTTAATATTCTTTCACTTTGATTTCTTTTACTATCATGTGTAAGAATGTTTTCTGTTTTCTTTCGGACACTATAATCGATACCTTGTCATCCACGTAACTTAATGTTTAGTCTAGCACATGGTCATATGTAAGAAAACGTGGACGGGAAAAATGTTGTGACAACAGATGATAAACTACTTGTCTGTTTTTAGTTATATTCAACATCAAAACTCGAGCAACTGTTCGAAATCCTCAGTAACACTGGCTACGAAGCCAATTTTTGTTATATATTTGAATTTTTAGATAGTTAAAGATAAAAGAGAAAAAAAGTGGGAAATGTATATATATATATATATATATATATATATATATATATATATATTTGGATTTTGAGAGAGTCAGAAAAAGATAAAGAGAGGAAACGATGGGGAAAGAGAGAAAAACATATATATATATTTGAATTTTGAGATAGAATAAGATAAAGAGAGAAAAACAGTAGGAAATAGAGAGATACAGATATATATATATATATATATATATATATATATATATATATATTTGAACTTTGAGAGAGAGAATAAGATAAAGAGAGAGAGAAAGAGGGAAGAGAGAAAGAAAGATACACACACATATACATACATACATACATACATACATATATATATATATATATATATATATATATATATATATATATATATATATATATATATATATATATATATATGTATTTGTACAATTCAGGCGAATGAATGTTAATGATGAGTGAACCTAATATGCAATAGATTAAAAAGTGTTCAAATTCCTCTTTTGACTGCGGGACCTAGATTGGCTATCATATTTAATTACTGACAATAACGAATTTAGACGGACAGAGAATAGAATGCAACCAATATTTTGTTAATGTCTCAGCAGAATATGTCTCACAATTCAAATACCTGCATCTACCCGTAAGCCCTTTGATTATAAATCGGACACAGGGCTAAAATGTAATCTGAAAGTGAGTTGTTGCTAAATATGTGTTAGTCACTTTTCTGGAAACCAAGATATACAAGTAGAAAATGAATAAGATTCCACTTATAGCATTTCATTTATAACTTTTTTCGTGATACAAAACTATCCGTTGGGTAAAAGAGATATTTCGATTCCTGATCGAAGATTTTCTTGTATTGTGCGAGTTTAATTTCTCGGATCTCATTCAAGTGTTGCATGTAGAATCCTGTTTCTGAAATCAAAGAGAGAAGGCCAAAGTTTCTATTTGTGGTCGAAAATGTCTGATATGATCAGCTTGAAGAAAGAATTGTTTCATTTGACACGAGAATGAAGCGACTTTATCCTGAAGCAGTCAGTCTGTTATTCGCGATATAAGTCAAAACGAAAGCTATTCGTCTGCCCGAGCCTAACGAAAATGAAAGAACGAGTGATTAAAAGAAGAAAGGAAGGAAATGAATAAAAAAAAATTAAACATTGGTTGGAAGAAAGAAATGAAAGTTGAACAAGAATGTATGAGAAAAACGTACGACGAAAAATGAAAGAAAAATGAAGGAGAATTAAAGTAAAGAAGGAAGAAAGGAAGGAAGGAAAATATTTAAAAATCACACGAAAGAGAAATTGAAAACTATGATAAAGCTTCAGAATAAAGAAAAAGAAAAGAAAGAAAAGAATGAAAGAATGAACGAACGAATAAATGAATAAAAGAAAATGTAAAAAAATACACAAAAATAAATGGGAAGATGGAAAACTTATGAAAATATTACAAGACAAAGATAAAACAAGAAAGAAAGACAAAAGAAAGAAATAATTAATGAATGAAAGAAAGGAAAGAAAGAAGTCGGGGGAGTGATTGAGGAATATATAAATATAAAATGAAACAAAAGTAATTGAAAAAATATAAAAGATGGAAGATGAAAAAAAAAAGAAGAAGTCGACAAAGAAAGATGAAAAGAAAGAACAGATAGGGACTGGAAAAGCGAGCATGAAAAGAAAGAAAGAAAGGAAGAAAGAAAGATAGAAAGAAAGACAGAAAGAAAGAAAGAAAGAAAGAAAAACAAAATGAGAGCACGAACAGAAAGAAAGAAAGAGACGTTCTCAAAGAAAAAAAAAAACCTTCAAATAAAAATGTAATAAAATATTGAAAAATAAAATAAGAAATAATCTCAGAAAAAATAAGAAGGAGAAGGGAAATGTTTCTAAATAAACGATGATAAAAAATGATGAATGCATGAAAAAGAGAAAGGAGGAAAGTAAACCGGAAAGCAAGGCCATAAAATTGAAATAAGATGCCAAAAATAATGATACGCAAAAGGAGAAGATAGATTAAAAAGGAAAATAGAAAATTGGGAGAAAAAGGAGGAGAATGAAAGAAAGAAAGAAAAGATAAAGAAATTAAAGAGAGAGAGAGAGAGAGAGATGAAAAATGAACAAAGTGAAATCAAGATAAAATCAAATAGAAAAAGAGGAAAATGTCAAAAAGAAAAAAAAACAAACAGAAATAAAGAAAGAAAAGTGAACAGAAAAAAAATCATGAAAAGAAAAAAAGAAAAGAAAGGAAGACCGTAAAAGGACAAGAAAAAAGGGAACAGCAAAAAGGAGAATGAAAAGAAAAAAAAAGAAAGTTAAAAAGAAAGAAAGAGGGAAAGAAAAAAAAAGAGAGATTAGGGAAAAGGAACATGAAAAGAAAAGAAGAAAAAAGTAAAGTAATAGAAATAGAAAAAAAAACAACGAGGACAGGAAGATGGAGAATGAGAAGGAAGAACGAAAGAAGAAAGAAAAAAGAAAATGGAAAGAATGAGAAAGAGAAAACCGAAGAATATGAACACGAGAAGTGAGCATAAAAAGAAAGAGAAGAAATAAAAAATTCAATAATGAAAGAAAGCGCCATAAAAGGGGGAGTGAAAAGAAAGAATAAATAAAATAAATAAAACTAAAGAAAAAAAATAAGATAAGCAGAAAAACAAAAACAAATGAAGCGCTCGAGTACGTGAAAAAAAAGAAAAGAAAGAAAAGAAAACGAAAAAAGATGTTTTTTTTCCGATAGTCGAATTGAATAGAAATCTTTTCTATGACATCCCAATTTACAAATTAAACCCGAACTCTAGCCTACGTATCATTTACAAGTGCGTGTTCCTTTTCATTACAGCGTTAAAACAAAAAAAAAAAATTAAAAGTCCATCCCTGTAGATTCATATTTAGTTATTGAATGATGGAAAACACAGAAAATTAAAAAAATAGATTGGAAAACAAGAAAAATAGTTTATAAAAAAAATAAACCGGAAAATTGAGAAAAATTAAAAAAAAAATTAAAGAAATGTTTTGGTACTGGAAGAAAAGGGGAGGTATTCTGAGAAATAAGCCAACCCAAATAGAGTTGCCTAAATTTTAATCATGGCTCATCAATTCCTCCCCATTAACCGCAACACTACACACAAACTAATTTATTAATTTTTATGAGAAAAACTTTAGCAAAGATATTTCAACAATGAAAATATATGTTGCTTTGAAGTAGTCAAACTATACCATAATAAAATCAACATTACTTTCATCTGTTTATACTTTACTTATTTCCATTTACTCTCAAACACTGATTTAAATGCTTAGATAGTCATCCATTTCAGCATACAAAATGTATTTATTTGTGTGATTATCTAATTTAATTATAAAAGTATGCAAACATTGGCTTAATTATAATAGATTCCCAGATACCAGACGGGAAATTAATTACAAGTCAATTACTCTTGAAATTTGGTTTGAAAGTTTTTATATATATATATATATATATATATATATATATATATATATATATATATATATATATATATGTGGTCTAAAAACTCAGTTTTAGAGAGCATAAAAAATATACAATTCGGGAGAGAAGATAATAAAAGGCACAAGAATTGAAAAGACAGTAAAATGATGAGACCTTTCTGCCAATCTAGTACTGCGCTTAAATTCATAAAGTCTATGTACAATAGAGGAAAGTTATTCGGAACAATTACCAAGAAAGTATTTATAGAAAGATACAGGGAAGCTACGTTGGGGCGGTGGAAAATGACTAAAGACGAGATGCCAGATCGGGACCACTAACATTGCAGATTCTTTAGATTTTATCAAGAATCTCTAAATATATAGCAGAAGCACTAGACTAGATTTGGCAGTCTTCTAAATATGTAAGATATTTTTGAGCGCGGAATTTAGGTGAGCTCGACACTTAACAGTTGATTCAATATACTTTTTGCATCTTATATCAATATATTTAGTCAAAGAAGCGTAATGAGTCAATCTCGTGGTTAGAATCAGCCATATTGATGGTAGGTAAAAAGGGTTCTTGCAGTCGTTTAAATGAGAGCAGTTGTGTGTCGGAGACTTTAAAATGGTGAAGCCATTCCTTGCCCCATATAGCAAGAGACTAGGTCATTTTCTTTTTAAATCATACCGAAATGAGAAATGATGACATAGGGAAGGGACATTTATGAAAATTATAACTACGCACGCGTGCGTGCGTGCATATGTGTGTGTGTGTGTGTGTGTGTGTGTGTGTGTGTGTGTGTGTGTGTGTGTGTGTGTGTAGTAATGAATAGCGGCTTGGATTGTGGAATCGGAGAGTCGAGTTCGAATTCCAGTCGAATCCATTACATTCACTTACGTGCTAATACCCTTGGGAAAAGTATGAATCCTCTTCTTCTCCCTCCAGCTATGGATATATGGCAGGACAGACTGGGTTCTATAGCCTTGGATGGCATCTAGTCTAGGAGAAAAACAACTCTGAATTCAAAACCTGCGGAGGGTCGTTTTGGGACCCTGTGGCACGTAGTGCACCAGGTCTCTGTATTCGGCCCTTCAAAAAAGTTTGGATGGTTCTGCACGCAATATTCACCACTATTTTCAAATCTCATGTGCTGTTGTCGGGCTGTCGGTTTCCTAGGGACTGATCTGCTTGACCCTCATACGCCGTATTCGAAGAGAGAATCGAGTATAGGCAGCACATTTTCATTCAAGCATGTTTGGTTAAAGAATTTAGATGTATTATATATTTTTATTTATTTTATTTTTATTTATTTTAGTGTACTTCCTTTCAATCCACAAATTAATTCCTTGGCGGCTGTAGAAAATTGATTATGAAAAATTACGAAATTCTCTTTCAAATGATTCAGATTTCAAATCTGTGTCTCTGTGTGTGTGCGCGCGCGCGCGTGTATGTGTGTGAATATATATATACATGTATAAGATGTATAGAGTCAAAAACGGAAATGGTGCAGCCATTCTATGTAATCTGAGGATGCCATACTACTAGTTGCGATGAACAGTCTGGATAAGGTTAAGAGGTTCAAACCCTCGGTCCCGATGATGGGTGACTTCGTGATAGCACAACCACCAACGTCTTCCGCTTCAAAAGATGTCGAAAGCTTTTCCAGACTGATAATATCAAGAAGTTACCTTCCTGACACATCGATCATAGTAAGATTCGAAGCCGGGTCTCATGGTCAGAAAACGAACATTCTAACCATATATATATATATATATATATATATATATATATATATATATATATATATATATATATATATATATATATATATATATATATATATATATATATATATATATATATATATATATATATAAACAGCGTGAATGTTTGTTAGGGCTCGCTGTTATTTGTCTGTAGCTCCTTGAGCTCATATTTTTCTTCCTTTTTTCCTTCTCATTACACATTTTCTAGTGTTATAATTTAAGTAAATCTCCCATAAAAGGCCTGAAGAGCGGGAGTGAAACAGGTTGCTTCGCTTTTAACATGTCTTGCAATATTAAGCTACACACTTTTATTTCTGTTATTAAATTTTTACCTACAAAAATGTTTTCAAATATATATATATATATTTATATATATATATATATATATATATATATATATATATAGATATATATATATATATATATATATATAGTATATTGGGAATCAGATCATTATTAAATATAACACACAATAAATGTCTATTATATTTAATTGCCATTCTAAAATTCGTATGGTTGTTTTAATTTCGCGTGAAAATAAGACAAAAATTGTTCAAAATTTTGATATTTTTTTTTAAGGAAAAACTTCAAAAAAAGTATCCAAATGTTGGACAATTTTGTCTTCATTTTCACCCGTAATTAAAACAACCATACGAATGATGATAGATTTCTGAAGAAGGGTAATTGGACTACAGTTGGCTGTGAGATTTTACTGTTGTTGAACTGTCTAAAGCACTCCGGTTAGAAGGTGGTTTATCTTATACGGTAGACAATGTTGCGAAACATATCGGAAAGTATATAACCTTTATTAATACTATCGAATGCAGAAACCTGTTGACATAAGTTTAAAAAAGATATCATGTACAATAATGTTTATCCATGAAATATAACATTTCAGGCAATAATACACACACACACACACACACATATATATATATATATATATATATATATATATATATATATATAGTTAGTACTATAAAAGCCCAAATTACGTCATAAGGGGAAAAGGTTTATTTCAACCGGCGAAACATTCTTCAGTCTATACCGAGTTCCGATAAGACTGACGAATTTTTCGTCGTTTGAAATAACCCTGTTCCACATATGAGGCAATTTTGGATTTTATTTTGTACTACTTATTTACTCGCTAATAATAAATACATTGAGCTGTTTTGTGGATCAGGTTTAATATTTGATATTAGTAGGATCCACTTGCATTATATACTACCGGATTTATTATATATATATATATATATATATATATATATATATATATATATATATGCATGCATACCTACATATATATATATATATATATATATATATATATATATATATATATATATATATATATATATATATACATACATACATACATACATACATATATATATATATATATATATATATATATATATATATATATATATATATATATATATATATATATATAGTAGACAATGTCGTTTACCCATGGAAACTGGCTAACTAGAAAGGAAAATAAAGAATAACAAAAAACCCTTGAAAACGGCTAATGATTTTGACGAAAGCTCTCCGGAAAATTACCATAAAGTTTCTGTACTCCCTTACTCCGACTAAAAAGAATACGACAAGAACCTTAATTAAAATTTAATAAGTAACTGATAAATTTTTCTTTCCTTGTCAGCGCCAAATATATGCGTATGTGCGCCTGTGTTTGTATGGAATAAAGAAAATGGTTGTGACGTTACGTCTTTGTGAATGAATAGTTGATTAGATTTCTTTTATATTGTGCACTAACTTTAATTAACTATTACAATACTTAGTTACATCTTTTATCACATCGGTATTATATAGAAAACAGATTTACTTCTTATATCTGCAAGTAATGAATAACGAATCAGCTCAATCACTGTCAGAATCCGGGTGAAGTTTTTAACCTCTGACATCTTGGCCACCAGTTTTCATGACAAAACACTTAACGTAGATTCCTATGTATCCAATCATACTGCTTCGCAAATCAAGGTTTCGACTGAAAGCCACTTAGGTACGCATCGCATATTTAGATTCCTGGCTATATTTATGAACGTCTTCGATGCAGCTGGCCTGGTAATTGTCCTGTGCCATCTCAACAAAGCCGAAGCCTTTGGCTAAGCAGCTGGTGGTAACACGTTGCATTAAGATTTTAACATCGCATCACAATAATCGACTGCTCTCAGACGTTCAATGTACCCCGATCCTATCCTTAATGGAGAACCCGAAAGAGATATAGCAAGCGTTGTAATGAAATTTATCATTTATCATCCATAAGTTACCTTTAGACGCGTACATTTTCAAGCAGTCAGAAAAATTCGTTGTGCGCATGTGCATGACATATACGTTCAAGCGCAGGCGATGTTCAAAATCGCTGGATCATTCTTGGTTTAAAATTTATTCTCAAGTAAACTTAGATTTTCATTCACGCTACATTAGCTAGCGACAATCTTCATGTCTTGTAGATCGCCAATATAGAGGAAAAATGTAATATATAATTTTTAAAAAAGAATCTCTAAATACGAACTAAATATTAATTTAAAAATAGCTTTCCAAGCCGCCGTTTCTGATGTTATCATAATTTTAATATATATTACTTATCTTTATATTAAAAAAAAAAAATCTAGTACGGTATTTCTGAGTAGCCCACTTAGTCATTTTTCTCTCTGGAATGTTTAACCGTAAATACAAGGAGCAGCAGAAATACATCCTACATATTGCTCCCAGAAGTTGGGCACCTCGAGGTGTTGTAATAGTTAGCAAGCTTGTCTCGCTAGAACCATTACGAATGAGTAGTGAGTTCGGTCCTCACTGGGTGCCCCTTACTTTCGGCCTAGTTCCACATCCAAGCTACGCTTGGGAAATCACTATCCCTTCCAGAAATACTTCAATCATAAGAGTAAGACATTATATAGATGAAGACATGAAAGACACTAATGTTTTAGCATAGTGTTGACGGTATTTCTGGGAGGTATATGTTAGAAGTATTTCTGGCACACCCTGTACAAATGATGTTTTTTTTAAATCTCTTACCAGAATTTCTTTTTTGCTCTGTCATAATATTATAACCCCTTGTAATATAGCAACAAGTAATCAGAAGCTTATGAAGCTTTATTAAACTAATGGTATTTATTTTCGGTAAAATTACAAAAAATGTGGTAGCAGGCCAAATGTGAGAATGGGATAAATCTTGTCTTCATCTGTTTTTTAATTAAACTTAGGTAGCAGACACAAACATACAACAATATTCCTTACAGCAAAACAACGCATTCTTACCATTTTTAATGCATACACCATAATACCTCAGAATCTCCATGAGGTCCGAACTAGTCCCCATACAATTTGTCAGTAGGTTGTGGGAGAATAAAATAACAATTGTAAGCTTTATTTGATTAATTCAGCTTTATCACTGAAAATGTTTATTATAGTGGATGATTACCGTATAGATGGAAGATGAGATGTGCTTATTTTATTAATATATCGCTCAAAACAAAAACTAATTCTCGGTTTTGTCTTCTTAACAACAAAATACATACACACATCGACATAGATTAGTCGTTAAAAATATAGATCTCTTCTTCCGCAGAAAGTTTTATAAGATTTTAATATTACACAGTCTCTAATGCAAAAATAAACGTAGGGGAAGTTCGAAAATTAACACGACTACAAATCCACAATCAAACAAGTTTGCCAACATAATACAATTTTTTTTTGTTTTTGTTTTTTTAGATGTAACAGACTTGTTCCAAAATACCAATTAACAGTGCAAAATAAATAATCTAAAGTAAAAAAAAAACAAAAAAAAACGTAATAGGTGTTTTATAATTCGTTCCTTCCACATACAAATCTTCACCTGGTTCAAAAGTACACTTGTAACCTTGTGTTGTACAGATATAATATTAATTGTTTTCTGTTAGTTGTGAGTAGGCGCTGGGTCCTTCATGGAAATAGTCAAACCACATAACCTAAAAATAGCGGGTTGGGGAGTGATGTCTCCGGGTAGTTTTGGAGGCATTACAATTATATAACCCATCAATGTTGACAATAGTGTTGAGGTAAATACAGAGATTTATTGTAAACTTGCCAAATTACCCGCACCTTGCTGCGTGTCACACATATTTTGTAAGAAAATTATGACTGATTTTAAGTCCTTGATATAATTTGTAGAGAAAATGATGCATTTCAGTATTACTCAATGATCTTGCCGATGTGACCTCCATCTTCTGACTTTCTCCTTCTATATTTCGGATAGGAGTCATTCCCGTGTTTAAATTTAAATTTATTTTAAATCAAAGGGAAAAAAAAATCATTGGAAGTTTAGTTCAAAAACAATTTGATATCTATTTGATGCAATACTTGATTTAATCAATTGATGAACAGATTTCAACATTGATATTACCTTGGAATTTTCGCAACAAATATATATTGTAAGGCACTATCCACTGATTCGTGATTTCCCGCTCAACTTGTCATCCTTATTGTCTCATTTTGATCTTGCCGATGTGACATCCATTTTCTCGCTTTCTCCTTCTATGTTTTGGATAGGAATCATTCTATTTTTCAAATTTAAATTTAATTTAAATCAAAGGAGGGCAAATTTTCAGTGGGAGGTGTGCCCCACCCCGGAAGCTCATTTGATTCAAATGAATTATACTTATTCAAGTGCTAAGTACTTTCACTGACATTGAGCGCTTTTTCCCGCCAATTATACCAAGTTTTAATAATTTATTTATATTTTATTTTAGCCATTTCACCCCAACAAAGACGGGAATTCCACTAGTACGCAGGACTTACAGGGAATGAGAATGAAAGAGAAGACTGATTATCGGGAGGATTGAGGGAAAGGAGAAAAGATGAACGGGATTCAAGAAGACAGAAAATGTCGATTGACATTGCATTTAAATTTTTTAAAATTGTAGCTATCAAGAGAGCAAGTACACGGGAATTCCACAGTTTGGAAGTGCGAGAATGTTGGAGTAGAAGTGGATGTTGCATTTATCGATTCCATCAGTACACAGGCTGGGAGCATGATGTCAATCTATTAGCACGTTTAAATCCAAATATTCGGAGCACCATGGAAAAAATACGTCAGAGCAGTTGCCATGAAAATATTTGTAGAAAACAGAGGAAAGACACGTCACGTTGGTGAGAAGGTGACTAGATGCATGCTTAGGATTGATTGCAGATACTTCTTTAGATAATGTCAAGAATCTCTAGATGCACAGCAGGGGAACCAGATCATTCATATATACATATATACATACATATATATATATATATATATATATATATATATATATATATATTTATATTAAAAGAAGAGAGAAACCGCAAACGTTTTTTTAGTTGTAATGTGGATTTTTTTACAAAATATTATGCTTTATTTTTTACAATTTTCAAATTATCAACCTTAAATTTTGCTACACGTGTTTCTGGTCTCGCGACAGTCATCAGGGAAAGGTGGAGATTTCTACATATATATTTTTTAATAATATGCGGAAATATCCACCCTTTGCCTGATGCATGGTTAGTATTGATTACTGATACTTCTTTAGACTTTATCATGAATCAAACTGTTTATATATATATATATATATATATATATATATATATATATATATATATTATATGATGAGAATTTATATGAATATTTATTTTTGTCGAAAATAATAATAATAATCCAGAATGAATATATATCCGTGAGACTGTATGTATAAATAATACGAGCATAAAAACTATCAACTTTAATTTACAATTTAATTGATTTATTGTATCTGTTTATATTTCTGAGATGAGGTATTATGTACACTATTTACATAATCGGACTATTGTCCTCATCTTTGTTGCCATATTTATCACAACGTTTCGGCCGTTGTACGCCCCGGCCTTCTTCAGGTGGTTGGAACTGAACCCTTTATTTCGCTTGCTGGAGTAGACTGTTCTAGTTCCACGTGCCATGTCTAATGGATGTCAGTTATCAGTTATCTCCTGTTAATTTTCCCTCTCCAAGTTCTCCACTGCATTAACCATGTATTGACCTCAGAACTCTTTGGGTCCTGTCTCTGGATCTAACGAACGCCTTTATCCACTGTACCATGTGTCCTTAAGAATAGCGATAGTTCGAATGATGCAAATAGTTGTTTCAATGTGTTTCGTAGAAGATAAAAGCCAATGAGTTCCGAGTTTGAACTGAGCTTATTACAAATTCTTTGGGATGAATGCTAGTTCCCATTCCTTTGCGATTTTTGAAATATCGGCAGAATTTATTTATAATTTTCTTTTCAACATCTTAATATAGAAGCAAAATATCAAAAGACTGCGTTTTATCTGAGTTAGTCTCTCATACGTGAGTCTTTGCTTGTCATCAAGAAAAAAAAACAGCTTGCAAGAGGCGGAAAATTGTTAAAGTGTAATTTTAGTTCATAAAAATGCAGTCAAATTATATAGTGGGCCAAATAAATTTCTGTTAAAAATACAACATTGCTCTCCAAAACCTTGTTCGCTGCAAATAATATGTACTTGAGAGGACACGCAATCATATATATGACTCATACTAAGCATACAGATACTTATGCAGGCACACATACAGGCTGACGCACGCAAAATACACAAACACATTCATATACACACATGTACGCATGTGTGTATAGATAGATAAATAGATAGATAGATAGATAGATAGATATAAACTGACTAAAGGTATTTTAAGAGTAAGTGAATGTTATATAAACTGAGGTTAGTTGCAAATATTCCAATAAAAATAACCAAACCTGGGTTTACAAAATAATTCCAGAAAATATTTTATCAAAAAGAGAGAAATAATGTTTAAAAAAGGGTTCGCAAGAACAGAAAACAAAATAAAACATTTCCATTTTGTTTGAAATAGAAAAAAAAAATGCTTTTATTTTCTTTGAAAGAATACATTGTAAATATTTCTTTTTTCTCTTCCGGGCTTTTATTTTTTTGTTAAATTTGCTTTTCAAATCGAAGCAGGGACAAATAGTATTGACTAAAAGTCTCCGACTTGAGTAAAGAATTCACTTATTTTGCAAGAGGCACATAACACTAATGCGTTCTGGAAAAGTGAAGTGGAGAACTGCTAAGTAATTTGTAGAAAAAGCGTAAGTAATGGGAACTTTAGTTTTGTTGCTACCACAGTCATTAAAATCATCACTTCGTGATCGTCACTGTCGTCATAGCAACTGTGAATGGAACAGTTATAGCAGTGAATTAAGATAAAAAAAGGCGGGAAGATTGTGTCAATATTTTTTTTCTTTCAACCCTGATTTCTTTTTTTCCTTGCTTTTCAGTCATTCAGTAGTTCAACTTGCTTTGTCTTTGTTTTTAATAAAACCCTTTCATATATTTTATAAAAGCCTTCGGTTTTTATTAGTGGGTTTCCCGTTTCATTTACCACGGTCCTGAATTCGGAACAGTCGTTTCCCCCAAATTAGAAGTCACCAAGAATAGAGATCACAGTCACCTCTGCTGTTTAACCCATAACTGGAGCATTAGTTATGAATTCATCTCTTATATAATTAAACAGAAAGAAAGTATATATTATTGACTTGGTAATATTTTTGGAGGTACGGTGGATTAATGGATAGCAGTTCAGATTGAGAAATCAAAGAGACGAGTTCGAATTCCAGTCGAATCCATTACATTCACTTACCTTGGGAAAGGTATGAATCTTCTTATTCTACCCCCAGCTATGGGTAAACAGCAGGACAGACCAGGTTCTATAGACTTGGATGGCAACTGGTCCACCGCAGAAAGAAATAACAACCTACTGCGGGAAAAAAATCCGCCTCGTCAGTCATGTATCGAAAGACAAATAACTGACTGACTGAATATTTTGGTCTCAGCGCCTCGTTACATCATTTCAGGCTGGTAACCATTAAGCTACCCTTACATACAATATTTTTTTAAATTGATACTTATAAAAAAAACAAAAAACAAAACAATTTAATGCTAAGAAGTTACATATTTTGCCGTTCAAAATCGCTGAATTTTTTGTTGCATTATTTTTATCACCAAAAAAATGCTGGTAAGTTTTAAACCTGAAATATATTTCAGGGTCATTGAATACAAATAGAAATATCTTGGTGACGGAAAAGTTAACTTAAGAGTTTTTTTTTATTTCCCTTATATCCAAAACTTTTCATCGGATATACTGTTACAGCATGCAAAGGCTGAACCAGGATGGTGAGCAACGGCGCAGAATACACCGAGCGCGGGAAATTTTGACAGTGTCGAATTTTGGCTATCATACCAAAAAAATGCTAAGTTGACAGAGTTACAAGAATTCTTTTTAAGAGTCGATCATACATGGCGGAATTCTAAGCCAATGAGTCGGTGTGTCTTCCACTGATGTCCTTCTTCCAGCTACCATCTAGAATAGATAGATGTATCATTACTTCAAACATTATTACAGTTAACGTTTTATATCCTTTCTTCCAGTTGTTCTAATCGTTGCTGTGTCGATTACGGATTTCGATATCGCGGCCACCAGTGACTCTCCATAAGTATATGTAAATTCCACCTGTTCAGTTCAACCCGCTGATACACCTGACTTCTCTGACAATCTGGTATGATCCAGTATAATATCTATTATTTTATTAATTTGAGTCTATATATTGTAGTCTTAATTTCTCTTAGGAATTGAGATTTAAATTTGATTCAGCCCTTTTTTTTATTGTTTTTCAGGGTGTGAATTACATATGACAGGCTCACTGAGATATGCATTTTAATCAGTTCTTCATGATTCTATAGCAACAGAAAAGGACAAAGATCAACAGAAACACATTAACAAACAAAAAAAACACCTATTGATAACTAATAATTTAAAATTACTGCACCATCAACGATTAAACTTGGTACAGTAACAATCGGGTAGGAGATATGTTCCTAGTATATCTCTCTACGATGGGCGCTATTCATAGATTTTCCAAAGTTAAACATGTTAAAGAGTGCAACAATTGTGTAGTATCATGGAAAGATCGAACAGCCTACTGACATTTATTTAGAATAGTTTAGTCTAATGCCCTAGTTATGATACACCCAGCCGGAGCTCAAATCCCGACAGATGTAATTGTCTGAAAGACAACTTTGTTAATGTATACACCAGGGATGAAAGCCTACAGCGAAATGTATACCTAACGAGAATAAATACCTAACCCAATTTTTCTGTTGGATAGTTGTGGTGAATTACAAATTTGAATTACTTATATCAAACGGAGCGCAACAAAATAAAACAAGGCTGAGACTAAATTAAGTGGGGAAAGCAAACAGGGATATATATATATATATATATATATATATATATATATATATATATATATATATATATATATAACACATCTTAAAACTATTTCTTCATATATATATATATATATATATATATATATATATATATCATAAACATCTTAAAACTGTATTTATATATATATATATATATATATATATATATATATATATATATATATAAGATATTGAGCGTTAAATGTTTTAGTTTCTATAGATTTTTATCTCATCCGACCATATTTTTTTATTTTCCTACTTATTATTTTTTTTATTTTAACTTATGCTTTTCTTATTGTCTGCAATGAGAGCTTCAGATTATTTTCCCGCATATAAGTTATATTAAATCTTAGAGGTTAATATTTTCGAAACGAAAGCACAATTGAAAATGGGATTTTATGATTTATATAAAAAATGCTGACAATAATGATTTTAGAGAAATAATACAGTTCAGCTTGTTAGCATTGCCATAGAGGACAAATTGATGCTTCTTTTTAGTTCGCAGTTTCAGTAAATGTGGCAAAAATCTTCCACAGTCCACTTATAACGCTGTGGATTATATATATAACCTGCGCAATCTCTGAAATCTTTGTACTGATCTGCGCAATGTAAACAAACTGGCGCCATATTTGTACACTGTGTAGATGATGTCCAAATGTTCTGCAATTCGGAGCGCTTTCGTCTATATTTTTAGTTATTATCAAAGATGATTTTATTTTTACTGTTTTACTAGATGTATAGGTTGTGCGTATGTATCTAGAGATATAGGGATATTTTATTTTCCGAACACAGTCAGAACATTATAGCCGTTTTCGTAATTAATATTATTGAATGTTGGCTTTTTTTTATTGTTAAGGCTTCCATTATTTTTAATCTTTTTGCATATGGATGAAGTTAAAGTGCTTGTATTTTCTACTATTATCTTTCGGATGGAGTCTGGCTGGTTTGCGTGTGTGTTTAAATGAGTTCGTTTGGAGCTGTGGTCGGTGAGGTGTAACGTAAATTGTCTGGATAGGCATGTAACATGTATAAAAGAGGTACTGCTGCCTAAATACATAATTACACACACGCATCTAATTATCGTTACAAACAACTGGGGTATATAATGAGGAAAATGGGCTTGGAAAATGTGATACTCACATGACAGATTGAAGGCAAGTGGAACACATGCAAACAACGCATACCATACTTAGTGAAATTGAATAAATGAATGTCAGAACAGGGATTAGGAGAGATAACTAAATGGCAATATTTATTAATCCTTTGTGTCCTGACCACCGCTTTACCGGTGCTAAAAAAAATGACGTAATACCCAGTCACCAACTGAACAATATTAGAGAAAAGTGACGTAATGCGCAGCAACCGGTTGAACGGTGGGTAAACACTTGTAAGTATTTTTATATCGACCGTGAAAAATTACTTACAAATTATTTGTGATTTTTGACTCAGGAGCTCAGGTAGAAGGGTTAAAATCGTTCAGGAACGCAAGGATCAAATGGTTAAGAGTTGTAAAGGTCAGGAAATTGTGGAGAGTCTTGACCATTAAAGTGTTGAAGGGACAAGGCACATAGAAGAAGAAGATAAATATGCAAGCGTTTTTCAGAAAGGAAAAAATGTGTTTAATACGTATGTCAAGTTATATTTATCGCAGTTTATCTTTTTCGTATTGGGAAAAGGGAAAAGAAATTCTTAATTCTCCACCATATTGTATCAAGCAGCCGACAGCTATTTGAATTGTTTTGAACATCGCTGTGATTAACATGAAATAAAAAAGCCAACACTTAGAAATTCATCACTTTAAATATTAAAAACAGAAGAAAAATGACGATTTATGAAATGTACAAGTAATGATAATATTTACACTATTTACATCGGGATATTCACAACGTTTCGACCGTTGTACGCTCTTGCCTTCTTCAGGTGGAATACGTTGAAATTTCGAACTGAAGCCTTTATTTAGACCACTGGGGTAGATTGTTCTGTGCCATATCTCAATTCTCATGCATCAAGCTGGATTTAATATAGTCGAGCAGTTGATGTATTAAAAAAAATATAATTTTACACAAAGCAAAGCGATGAAACGACTACGAGAATTACTGGGACAGAAAGAAGCCGTGAAAAAATTCACGAGAAGAACAGACAATAAAAGAACACTTTTAGAGACAGGAGATCTCTGTTAACTTTAATTCAAATTTTGGAAGACTGTATTTGAGAGGAAAGCATAAAGCTATAAGTACAAGAGACGAACAATAAAACATAGAACTTATTTAAGCAAGTTAAACAGTAATATGATGAAACCTAACTGCCAATCGAGTACAGTTCTTAAATTCATGAACTCCGGGGACCAAAGAAAAAAGCTCTTCAAAGCAGTGGCTATGAAACTATTTCTATATGTATGGAAAAATGATTAAAACTGAGGTGCCAGGTCAAGACCAATGAGAAATGTACTGGAAAGGAAATAGAACGACAACCAACAAAACAGATTTGAAAGAATACATACTGTTGGAAGGAAAAAGAATTATTTCAGTGACTGTATGTGCCAATCTAGTGATGTCAGAGTTTTGGAAACTAGAAAATGAAGCAAAAAATATAACTGCGGTCACATGAAATATAAACATTTATGCAATTTATGCATATATTTCGCAAAAGAGTTTCAATGATGCAAATTTTGCCTATGAATAAAGTCTAAATATATCCATTTTAATTGTATAATCTTTGCCGGGAAATAAAATACTGCAATGTTTGGTTTAGAATGAAATTACTTTTATATTAACGAAATCGAGGTTAGAGTGGAGACATTTATAGGCGATATTGTATATCTATTCAATTTTTCATTTGGAAATTGCTGATTTCAAATTCCAAAGTTTATTTTGATGTTTATTTTTCCCTACTTCAATTCTTTGGGCTTTTTTTCCAGTTTATCTTATTTTTTTTTTGTTTCTTTGACTCTTGTATCAAAGCTTTAAAACGACATAAAAACACAAGACGCCTTGACCCCCTCTTGAGATGATAGACTCCGCTAAAGGGAAAGGTCGAATAAGAATAGACATTTGGCTGTCCCTGATTTGTCGATCATTCTAGCGGCAAGGCATTCGATTTTGCTTTACGCTTGGCTGCATGATATTTTTTCTCTTACAATTGAAATCGCATCGATTATTGTTCTATATATTTTTTTCTAAATTTTGAATGATCAGTTACACGATCTCTGGGACGACAATCGCTGTTCAATGACAATGTGCCTAATAATAATAATAATAATAATAATAATAATAATAATGATACTAATAACATTGATCAGCAGTTAAAAAATAAGGATGATGATAGGGCTGCGCTAACACTACTTTTGATGCGGTGAGTTGGAAACAGACAACACAAGATAGAAGGGAAGAGTAACGAGTTTAGTTTCCTAGTAATGAAGTACTGTAATCATATATTTGCTTCTTTTGTTCTGGTCTTTCTTTGTTGTTTTGAACTGAAATTTACGCAGTCAAAGCATCGGCGAATAAAAAAAAAAAAAAAACAACAGTGAAAAGGCGGTTGCTGAGGCACTAAGGAACAGGCTGAAAAATAGCAGGGAAATTGATATGTGTAAGAAAGACGTCGAATAATAGGTGGGCAAAATGTAAGTCTTTAGAAGAATATAAAAAAAAGAGAAGTAAAAAGAGATAAACGAAAGAAGGTAGAGGGGGAGGAAAAGTAAAATAGAAACAAAAGAAGAAAAGATAGAGGAGTGAGAAAGAGCGCGAAAAAAAGCAGATAATGTAAAGAAAGAAAGCTTAGAAGAAAGTGAAAAGTAGAAAATAGCAAAAGCTGAAAAAGAGACGGAATGAGAGAAAAGAGAAAAAAGCAGCGAAGAAGTCTACGAAATATTAAAAAAAAGAAGAAAGGAATCTGAAGAAAAGGACATGAATGAAAACTTTAGATACGATAATAATTTTCAATCAGTTGCAAGTTAATATTTTTTAGAGTAAGGGTGACCCTTAACAAGGCCCGGGGACAACTCGAGGTAGAGTGTTACGATAAGAGGATATTTGTGTGTATATGGAAAAGAGATAACGATTACTCCTAGCCTTGACTAGGTTAAGATAGTAGTGATCGGGGAAACATCCTCTTGGGAGTCGGGTCCATGGAGCAGTGACTCTCGGGAAGAAGCTGCTCGAGTAGAATTTACTTCTCACCACTGGAATACGGAGGGAATATGGCTGATTTGCTACTATGGAAGTGGCATGGTGATTTCTTGCCGTGAAGGTTTGACTTGGCGGGACCAAAGATTGTAATTCGTCTGTGCACTTTCCGTAGAGGTAGAGCAGTGACAGGTTTGCCACATCCCGGATGAAAGAGAGTGGTTGAAAGGAGGAGAATAGTTAGTCACCCACAGGGCATCGGAGACGCTGGTGAGCTCTATCAAGCCTGAGGAGTAAGCGTATTGATAAAATTAGTTTTGGTAAAAGGAACATCTATGGAGTATCTCCACAAATCTAAATGTTATCGATATCTAGATATACTAATTCGGCTAGAAGAGACAATTAAATCAACTTCTTTTCGCATTTGAAAAAAGAAAAAAAAGAAGAACGCAAATATTTTTTCACTCATATTACGAAAGAAATACATGCATTTTTCAAAACGCTTGCAATATCCTGATCCACAGTTTTATCGAGAAAAAAAAGCAACTTTTTTGCCCAGTGATGTTTTTCGAGCGCGTTAAAAATATAGCAGACGATAACAAAAAGGTTATTGAACAATTTATCACCCGTGAGATCCCCAGCAAAGATCGGGGATTTGAAAATAGCTTGAAGGTATTCCGAATGCGTATGTTATTCAGTTACATACTTGTAGAAGATTTTGAGTTTGCAAATGCAGAATTAGTGTGTCATAAATATAGACAGGAAGAAGATGTATAATTGAATAACTTCATATGCTTCAGTCATACAAATCGAAATACGCATGCGTGAAATTTGGAAATCTGAGAGAACGAGAGCGAAGCCGTTTTTAACGCATTGTTAATCAATACACATAGAAGCATTGGAATATTTTGTCTATTTTGTATGGAAGAGAGACAGATAACATCAGGAAATGCACGAGAGGCAGAAGCGGAGTTAATGCTGAAAGATAAACACAGAAAGTTTGAGTGGTCGCACGTAAACCCTCGGTGGAACGTAGGGTCACAACGACACTACAGCAGGTAATTTCAGTAAGACCCATGAATCATTCGTTTACATGCATTAAATGTAGTTGACTGCGTTCGTGTTATACTCTTGCAGGAAAAAAATATACTAAAGGAATCCAAGCCAGAGAATTGACATCGTTTATTGTGAAAATTGCAAAAGTTCTAGTGGAACGTTAGCTCTGATAAAAAGGGCATATGGCACATATATTATGAAGGTCTTGTGCGCCATACGCTGTTTAAAATAGGGGATAATGGGGCAACAGCGGAAAACACAAAGAGCATATGCAATTGTGGTCATATTGCGAAAACAATTTGCGACTTATAGAGACTGAATATACATCGAGAAGTAAGGCAGTATATTCTAATAGAAAAAACGAGAAAAATTATGAGTTAAAAGTTTGGGAGATTCTAGTTAAGAGACTCATTACAAAAATTGTTCCTACAACTTATTCACCAAGTCTTCTGTTATTTTCTTTATTATTCCCCAATCTCATAATGCCTTGAAAGGACAATGATTCCCTGGTGTCCTTCAGATCCACAAACAAGTGTCCATAATATCGAAATACATTCCAAAAAAGAATGCTTCCAGAAATGGTATCATCATATGACAATGGACACAGTTTCTCAAAGGAAGTACTTTGAAGATGACAACAGTCAATAGTGAATAAGAAAGAAAGCTTTTCTTTTTTTTTTCGCCCTTAATGCTGGTCGCAGATGTATTCCAGAGTCTGGTCTCTCTCTCTCTCTCTATATATATATATATATATATATATATATATATATATATATATATATATAGATATATATATAGATATATATATTGATGCATGTTTCATTAAATGATATAGACAAGCTCTGGCTATTTATTTTATGTAAATTCTTTTCATATCGTCTGATAAATAAGATTATCATTAAACGAAGAAAGAAAATCACCATATTGATACATATTTTTGAATCCTATCTAAGCTTTCGGCTTACATAAGCCATTATCAAAGATGCCAATTACATTGCAATATATTAGAGAATAAAGGGACAAAACAATAATGATAGTCTATTTTTGTTTACATGGAAGATTTCCAAGCAACGACAAACTCGTGCATACGAGACGCTGGAAGTGAAAATGGCATCGCAGCTCATGACGTCACACATAACCACGTGGGAGTGAAAACAGGAAATATTAAGTATGGGAAGCCGTTGGTATAAACCGATAACTTTTCACTTATAGGCATCTCAATTTTGTGAAGATTTCATAGTTTATTTTGATTAGTTTAGTTTTCAATATGCATCAATGAAAAAATCCTGCTTAAATACACACACACACACAATATATATATATATATATATATATATATATATATATATGTGTGTGTGTGTGTGTGTGTGTGTGTGTGTGTGTGTGTGTGTGTGTGTGTGTGTGTGTGTGTGAAAAACATTCCTTCGATCAGTTATTCTAAACATAGCTCTAATTAAAATATAGGACTTGAGTTTAAGCTTCGAACAGTAATTTCTTAAAAATAATTATAATATATATATATATATATATATATATATATATATATATATATATATATATATATATATACGTTAGATCACAGGACGGATCTATTTTTACATATTTTCCATTAAAATCAATCTCTTCGAATATTACCGTGTAAAAATTGAAATCGTAAGTAAATAGTAAGAATCGACAGTTTTCATTTCCTTTTGGATTTTCGACCATATCAATCACCGGTTAACGTTCGATCACCGAAGTCAAGAAACATTGAGCATGGTCAGTACATAGATGGGTGACCTCTTGGGAATGCCACGTGCTGTAATCTTGGATGGGTAGATGGTTTAATGGATAATGGCTCGAGATTCTTAATCGGAGAGCGGAGTTCTAATTCCTGTCGGGTTCCTTATATTCTCTTACGCACAAATAAACTTGGCAAAGGTATGAATCCACCTCTTGTTCCCCAACTATGGGTTAATTAGCAAGACCTGTATTACTAAACCATTATTATCTCCCAGAAAAAAACAAAAAAAACTTTTTTTTTTACAATCTAAAAATATTTCTGGCTTTACATAAACTGTAAAGTGTTGATAAGAAAACGAATCAATCAATAATTTAGTTCTAAAAATCGAAAAAAATAAAATACCACTTTCTTTAAACGTTTAAAAAGGAAACCTATGTTAAAAGCAACTTCTCAGACGAACCTGTATTTCCTGGGTCTTGAAAGTCGATAGGTGAGTTCATCTTTTTCTATTAATATCTTAGCGATAGTCTTACTGGTAGAAAAGCATGATTATCTTGGATATTTTTGTTTGGCCTTCTCATGTAGAATTTATTATTGGGCGCAGAAAGAATCTGGACGGAACAATCTGCGCAGATGGGCTGATATTGATGGGAGCCGTTTGACAAAATGCTGATTGATTATCTGATCGATCGAATGATTTTGTTGGTGAATGGACCAGAATATTCTCTGAGTGCATTTAGTTACATTTAATGATAAACACAGAAGACAGCACACACACACATATATATATATATATATATATATATATATATATATATATATATATATATATATATATATATATATATATATAATGTGTGTTTATGGAATGGATGTGTGCGTATATGCGCGCGTGTGTGTCTGTGAGAAAGAGAGAGACAGTCGATCAATCAATATGCATTGGCCATTTGATCACCATCGATATCAGGCCATCTGGAGAGAAAGATCTACGCAGATATTTCTGTCAAATCCTTTGTACGTTCCAATCATAAATTCGCCATGAAAAGAGTAAATCCAAGTAACTTAACAATGAGTTAGCTTCGAGTTGGCCCCTCGCCTCAGTTTGATAAAAATATCCCCAGGTGTAATTGAGAAGACCAAAGTAGCTTAATCGTTGAAAGGAGGTTAATATATCTGAAGAGCTATTTTTATGATTTTTTTTCCATTCAAGACATGATAGTCATTTACAGGAGCTTAGACCACAAGTGGCTTTTCTAACAGATGATGGATATATAAACAGATGGACGTATTACAAAATGAAGAACCCCTGCTAAAGATGGGTGTGTGCAGACAGCAAGACGTTTTCTAGTTTATCAGTTATGTGCCATGCGTGATACAGGCTTAGGCGATTATGTATCTTTCGATACCTGACTGACGAAGCATATTTTTCCTGCAGTAGGTTGCCATTTCTTTCTGTGGTAGAACAGTTACCATCCAAGGCTATAGAACCCAGCTATTTACTCATAGCCAGGGGAAGAAAAGAAGACACATACCTTTCCCAAAGGTATTGGCACGTAAGTGAATGTAATGGATTCGACTGGAATTCGAACTCGGCTCTCCGATTCATCAATCCGAGCCGCTATCCATTATTCCACCGTGCCTCTTATCGGATTATCATTTTAATACATGTAGAAGTTAAGAATGACTATATTTCGAATTTCCGTAAAATTTTTAACCTGCCATCAACGATCATTTATATCGTAATTTCGAACACAACGTTAGGTTGTTATTAATCACCACCCCTCTCTTTCTTGAAGAGATTTTGGCTAAGTTAACCCAGACGATTGTTTAATCTACGAGATATATTGTCCATGTCATTTTTTCATCTAATTATTTTTAATCACGATCACCAGACCCATAATCCGTTAGAGTTGTGGGGGCAAGAGAGATTTGCGGAATCTAACCTTCTCCAGACTGCTTTTGATTTCAGTATTTCCTTCTACATTTATAAACTACGATTTTACCGTTGTTATTAATAATAGCAATAGTAAAATCAATAGCAGGAAGAAGCCTGGCCCCCTCAACATGATGGCCTACCATGCTATTGATATGCTCTGACGTCCACCAACCAGCTCCCATGTATGGGTAAATACGAACTAACTATAATGACGACAGAACGAAAACTATTGCTAAACCGCAACGGTTATAACTCGGTTCAGCAAGGACCGGGAATTACCAGAGAAGAACCAAACAAGGATCGAAAGGTTTGCAACTGGAACGAACTCTACCCAACGAGTACTAGAGAAAAACACTCCTGAGACAATCCTCACAGAGGTCCTCTATATGCATTAAAAGATAATCCCACAAAAAAGAACAATAAATAATTGGTCTTAGGAAGAGTTCATTGAAATAATGATAACATCTGACACCGCTACCATAAATCCGACAACAATAAACAAACCCACCCAATGAATCTCTCCTATAAATAGTAAAACACCAAATCAACTCAATCAACGAAGACGCTACACTCTGCAAGAAACAGCTTAATACACCTGACACCCTACCAACAAAAAACGAAGCGAATACCATCTACGCCAAACGAGTAAAACAGAAAGCAAAACAACTTGGCCAAATGAAGTTACAACCCCCCCAAAAAAAAAAAAAAACTGGGAGGATAACGCGTTGCATGTCAAATACGTAAAAAAAATCGAAAGATATAGGTGTAAACCAACAGAAAACACATCAGCGGGTAAGGATCATCGGGTTGAAAGATGTAATAGAAGGCCTAAATATTGCATCTCAGGACTAAAGACTCGTAATCAGATCCTATCTCTGTGACATAATCAAGGATAGGGCTAACCCAAAATGGAGGATCTGCGGAAAAATATGAAATTGTCGCCCATATTACCTCATGATGACCGGAAAATTAATATCCCCACGGACATAAAAAGGTAGGGAAATATGTGCACTGAAAGATATGCAAGAAGCATAAAATCGAAACTTCTGAGAGATGCTATGAGCACTAACCAGACACAGTTATCCAAAATAACGATGTAACTACCCTCAGGGACATACCTTCTCTAAACTAATAGGGAACTAAAAAAAACAACAGAACTGATATTATCATGAAAAACAACAAGAAATTCAGGAAGCATATGCTTATTGATATAGCCGTACCATCTGAGAGAAACCCCTCTATAAAATTTATCGAGAAATTGTCCAAATACAAGGACCTGGAGATCGAGATTAACAGGATGTGGGGAATGAAGACTGCGACTGTACCAAGAGTAATTTGAACTTTGGGCATTGTGTGAAAAGGAATGGACAATTTTACGAACACTCCCTCAGCTAACATATAAGTTGTCCAGAAGATAGTTCTACTAGGAACATCCTATATACTAAGAAATGTGTTATCTGTTAAATGACAATTCGCTTAGAGGACCTAAATCCATAGTTTGAACCCGGCTCTACAGGATACAAAGTAAGAAATATAGCAAAAACGAATAATAATAATAATAATAATAATAATAACCCATCAGTGGCTACATAGTGCAGGGTTGAAAGCTGAAACTGAAGGCTTCATCCTTGCTGCACCGGACCAATGCTTGCTAACTAGGAATTATCAAGCACATATACTAAAATATTGTGTCAACCCAAAATGCAGATTCTCTGATAAATATCCAGAAACGATTGATCGTCTTGTATCAGGTTGCACGATATTGGCACCCCCTGAATATAAAACCCGGCATGACAGAGTGCGCCAATATCTGCACTGGAAAATCTGCAACTTCTACGGGAAGGAAACTGAAAGGAAATGGTATGAACACCACCCAGACCCGGTTACGGAGATAGGACCTGTTACAATTCTATGGGACTACACAATACACACTGACAGAGCAATCAAAGCCAACCGCCCACATATTGTTATTAAAGACCACAAACAAAAAAAGTGCCTCCTTATTGATATGGCAGTTCCTGCTGACTGCAATGTATCTTTGAAGATATTCAAAAAGCTGTCAAAATACAGAAATAGAAATTTAAAAAATGTGGCATATGGTAACATCACATTTAAAAAATGTGGCATATGGTAACATCAACAATCGCTGTTGTAGTTGGAGCCCTAAGACTGGTTGGAAAAGATTGCAGTAGACTAATTGAAGGGGTTCCTGGAAGTCCATACCTCAAGGAGATACTAAAAATTGTTCTGACAAGTACAGACCACACTTTACGAAGGGCTTTATCTACGTAATATATATATATATATATATATATATATATATATATATATATATATATATATATATATATATATATTGTCAGTGGAAAGTGTCATGACCGGAAAGAAATGTGTAAACGCCAGAAATCAAAAGAAAATAAAAATAATAATAATAATAATTACACTGGGAACTGTAAGGTATTTAGAAAACATAATAATGCCATATAAACTACCATAATATTATAATTAAAGATAAAAATTGTTTGAAAATAGCAAAATAATAGTAAGACTTTAAAATCGAAATAAAACAATATAAATTATCAGATTATCAGAACGAAATGAATTTTAAAATTCAAATTTTTAAAATAAACCAAACAAGTAATGGCAAAGTTCTTGAGTACAAGAACAATACAGAACAATGCTTGTAAAATAATGTGATCATATTTAGAATATCAATTGAAGCCAAAAGCAAGAACGGGATATTGAAGGGAAGATAGTAAAGTTAACAAAAAATAATTGTTAAAATAAACATTGACAATTGAGAAGTAATGATGACTTCAATTATAACGATTCGACTTCAAAAACTTTAAATGCTTTGAGCAAAGCAATATTATCAAAAGAAAAACATGAATATTTTGAGGGTTCTATCGTGGATTTTCACTATGCTAAGATGGAATATTTGAAAGTGAAAGAAAAATCGATTTTTTATAACAATGATTATAACAGCTGTCACGTATTATCATGCAAGTCAATGATTTCAAAATAAAATTGATATTAACCAACAGGATCGGTATATTTTGTAGATATACTGAGGGTCTATCTTGCGGTTCTTATTCGAATATGCAAGTCATTTAGGAAGGAGACACAATTCATGACAAAGGCAACTT